AATAACATTTTAAATACTGTTGCAACATCAGATTAGTTATCTTCGCTTTTCCATTTGTAGCAGAGTGATGGGCTGATGACAAGCTACAGGTAGTCCTCGACTTACAACCACAATTGAGCCCAAAATTTAGGTAGCTAAGTGAGAAATTTGTTAAGTGAGTTTTGCCCCATTTTACAATTTTTCTTGCCGCATTTATTAAGTGAATCACTGCAATTGTTAAAGTAGTAACACGGTTGTTAAGTGAAACTGATTTTCCCATTGACTTTGTCAGAAGGTCACAAAAATTGATCACATGATCTTGGGACACTGCAACTTTCATAAACATGAACCAGTTGTCAAGCATCCGAATCACATGACCATGGGGATGCTGCAATGGTCATAAGTGTGAAAAATGGTCATATGTCACTTTTTTCAGTGATGTTGTAATGTTGAGCAGTCACTAAATGAACTGTTGTAAGTCGAGGACTACCTGTAATCTGGGCCTTCAAAAATTGGAACAGTGTTTTCCAGAATCCGGAAGTAAATTGATGTATGTGATCAGAAACTAATCTGAAAACTATTCCTCTATAACAAAAGACATGATCCAAAAAAAGGTGAGCTGTTTCCCTTGATGTTGGCAAATGCTTGCAAGGGATGAAATGTGCCATCTTGGTGGGAAAGATCTATGACCACCAATATAGCTGTATAACCCTCCACTGTTAGTAAGTCTATTATAAAGTCAATTTACACTGCATGCTAAGGCTAGGAGGGGCTGCTCCTAGGGGCTGTAAAAATCCTGCCAGCCTCCCATGTAGGGACTCTAAAGTCCTGCCAGCCTCCTTTATATCTGGCAGGAAGCTACATAGTCTTTGACGTTAGCTCTCATCCTAGGCCACCCAAAGTCTCTGAGCTTTATGTGCAAGGTCTTTAATATCCTTCTATGTCCTGCCATCTCACTGTCATAGCATAGTTGCAGCACCTCTTCCCTTAAAGTTCCCTTAAAGTTACTGGCAAAAGGTCCTGCCTTTATGCAGCAGTACTTCCCTCTCCCACTGAAAAAGATGACACTGTACTTTGCTGGGTGTCCTAAAGGAATCCACAAAACAGTCTTGCTGCTGCTGAGTCTTCATTCTGGTGAACTGCCCCAACGTTTCTCAGGCAATACTTGCATGGCCTTACCAAAGTTACAAGGTTGTAAAAACTTTATGTGGGTTTGTGCTGTACCTGTAAATACTTAGGCTTGGGAGACAGAGCTTATGGCAACAAATTATGCTGTCCTGAACATAGCAATATAAAGGTCAAAGTGAGAGAAAAACTGGCTCCACCTCAGGAAGCCTAGAGAACACAGGTCGAGAGTTTGCAATATCTCCAAATTCATGTAGTCAGTCCAGATTTCCACTAGTAAAGAAGCACCTTCCAGCCTGTGATAGCATTGCCCAAAAGCTACCTTTAAAGCTAAGCAACTCCATGTTAATGATTTCATAATATCTTTCTAGGGGTGTTAATGCTCTGGAGTAAAAGATGAAATCTATTAATTACCTCTCTTCATCCACTTGCAAGAGAACAGCTCTCAAAGAAATATCTGATGCATCTGTCTGAATGTCAAATTGCTTTGGAGGGTCAGGATGGTCAAGAAGGGCCTGGGAACTTCTAGCTCTTCAAATGCTGACTGTCCCCTTCCTGTCCATGCAAACCTAGCTTTCTTTTCAACAACTGTATGAGAGGCTTAATGCTGTAGGTAAAGTTAGGAATGAACTGCCTGTAACATTTTACAATTGCTGGAGAGATCCTCACAAAATCATGCAGCAGGTACCTTGCAGAAGTACTCAGAAAAACACACAGATTGAGAGTATTATGCAGAATCCAGATGACAGAGCAATGAAAGTTTGGGGTGAGGGTCTCAAACACCCACAATGTTCAATAGAGATGCTACAGTAAGTGATTCTTTTTTATTTGAGTTTGATCGTCATAATGGTGGTTGGACTGTTAATATTCTGGAAATATATCCTGGGAGAGATAGTTTACTTCGAAACACATAATCACATTACCTTCAGTTCCTATAAAATGCCTTCCATGCTTGTTTTTCAAGAAATAATTGTAATTTTCTGGACTGTTCTCTGCAGGATTTCTGCAGAGATCACAAATGAATCCAACATGAGGCATCTTGCAGAAGTATTCAGGAAAAGCCAGAGATTGAGAGTGTTATTCCTGGCAATGAAGAACTTAAATGACAAAGCAATGGAAGTCCTGTGTGAGGGCCTCAAACATCCACAATGTACAATAGAGAAGCTACAGTAAGTGATGCTTTTTCATTTCAGTTTGACCGGTGTAATGGTCCTTTCATGAGTAATGTTCTGGAAATATATCCTGGGAGAAACAGTTCACTTGGAAACACATAATCACATTTCTCTCAGTTCCTATAAAAGCCCTTCCATGTTTGTTTTTCAAAAAATTATTGTAATTTTTCGAACTATTCTCTGCAGGCTTTATGACGAGAACACAAACGAATCCTACATGAGGCATCTCATGGAAGTATTAAGGAAAAATCAGAGCTTGAGAGAGTTATTCTTGTACCTCAAGAACGTAGATGACCAAGGAATGAAATTTCTATGTGAGGGTCTCAAACATCCACAATGTACAATAGAAAAACTGCAGTAAGTTATGCTTTTTCATTTTAATTTGACGCACGAAAGAATCCCTTGATGGGTAATATTATGGAAATATATACTGAGACACTGTTCAGTTGGAGACACATAATCGTATTTCTTTCAGTTTCTATAAAATGTCTTATTCCTTGTTTTACAAGGAATAATTGTAATTTTTTGGACTGTTCTCTGCAGGCTTGGTGGTGAGATCACAAATGAATCTTATACAAGGCATCTTGCAGAAGCATTCAGGGAAAACCAGAGATTGAGAAAATTATGCCTGTCTCTAAAGAACCCAGATGACAGAGCAATGGAAGTCCTATTTGAGGGCCTCAAACATCCAGAATGCTCAATAGAAATGCTACAGTAAGTGATAATATTTTATTTCTGTTTAATCGGCATAATGGCTCTTTGACTATTAATATTCTGGAAATGTATCCTGGGAATCACAGTTCAGTTGGAAACACATAATCACATTTCTTCCAGTTCCTATAAAATGTCTTGTATGCTTTTTTTCAAGAAATAATTGTAATTTTTCGGACTGTTCTCTGCAGGCTTGATGGAGAGTTCGCAAATGAATCATACATGAGGTATCTTGCAGAAGTACTCAGGAAAAACCAGGGATTGAGAGAGTTATTCTTGTCCCTCAAAAACCCAGATGACAAAGCAATGGAAGTCCTGTGTGAGGGCCTTAAACATCCAGAATGTACAATAGAGAGGCTACAGTAAGTGATGCTTTTTCATTTCAGTTTGCCCGGCATAACGGTCCTTTGATGGGTAATATTCTGGAAATATATCCTGGTAGAAAGAGTTCCATTGGAAATACATGATCACATTTCATTCAGTTCCTATAAAATGCCTACCAAGGTTGTTTTACAAGAAATAACTAATTTTTCAGACTGTTCTCTGCAGGCTGGGTGGTGAGATCGGAAATCAATCCTACATGAGGAATCTTGCAGAAGTATTCAGGAAAAACCACAAATTGAGACAGTTATATCTGAACCTCGATAACCCAGATGACAGAGGGATGGAAGTTCTGTGTAAGGGCCTCAAGCATCCAGAATGTTCAATAGACATGCTACTGTAAGTGATGCTTTTTCATTTCAGTTTGATTGGCATAATGGTCATTGCACTGTTAATATTCAAGGAAATATATCCTGGGAGAGACAGTTCAGTTGGAAACACAATCAGTTTCCTATACTTTTTATAAAATGCCTTCCATGATTGATTTTCAAAAAATAATAGTAATGTTTCGTAGTGTTCTCTGCAGGCTTGCTGGAGAAATTGCAAATGAATCCTACATGAGGCATCTTACAGAAGTATTCAGGAAAAACCAGAGATTGAGACAATTACGCCTGTTCCTAAAGAACCCAGATGACAAAGCAATCAAAGTCCTGTGTGAGGGCCTCAAACATCCACAATGTACAATAGAGAAGTTACAGTAAGTGATCCTTTTTAATTTCAGTTTGACTGGTGTAACCATCCTTTCATGTGTAATATTCTGGAAATACATTGTAGGAGAAACAGTTCAGTTGGAAACACATAATCACATTTCCTTCAGTTTCTATAAAATGGCTACCAAGGTTATTTATCAAGAAATAATTGGAATTTTTTGGATTATTCTCTGTAGGCTTGGTGGAGAGAACATAAATGAATCCTATATGAGGCATCTTAGAGAAGTATTCAAGGAAAACCAGAGATTGAGACAATTATGCTTGTCCCTAAAGAACCCAGATGACAGAGCAATGGAAGTTCTTTTTGAGGGCCTCAAACATCCACAATGTACAATAGAGAAGTTACAGTAAGTGATCCTTTTTAATTTCAGTTTGACTGGTGTAACCATCCTTTCATGCGTACTATTCTGGAAACACATCGTAGAAGAAACAGTTCATTTGGAAACACATAATCACATTTCTTTCAGTTCCTATAAAATGGCTACTAAGGCTGTATTTCCAAAAATAATAGTAATTTTTTGGATTGTCCTCTTCAGGCTTGGTGGAGAGAACACAACTGAATCCTACATGAGGAATCTTACAGAAATATTCAGGAAAAACCAGAGATTGAGAGGATTATTCTTGTCCCTCAATAACGCAGATGACAGAGTAATCAAAATTTTGTGTGAAGGCCTCAAACATCCACAGTGTACAATAGAGTGGCTAGAGTAAGTGATTCTTTTTAATTTCAATTTGACCCACGTAATGGTCCTTTGATGGATAATATTCTGCAAATCTATCCTGGGAGAAACTGTTCCATTGGAAATGCATAATTTCTTTTAGTTCCTATAAATTGCCTTCCATTCTTGTTTTACAAGGAATAATTGTAATTTTTTGGACTGTTCTCTGCAGGCTTGATGGAGAGATTGCAAATAAATCCTACATGAGGCATCTTGCAGAGGTATTCAGGGAAAACCAGAGATTGAGACAATTATCCTTGTCTCTAAAGAACCCAGATGACAGAGCAATGGAAGTCCTGTGTGAGGGCCTCAAACATCCAGAATGTACAATAGAGAGGCTACAGTAAGTGATGCTTTTTCATTTCGGTTTGATCGTCATAACGGTCCTTTGACTATTAACATTTTGAAAATGTATCCAGTGAGTCACAGTTCAGTTGGAAACACCTAATAACATTATTTTCAGTTCTTATCAAATGCATTGTATGCTTTTTTTCAATAAATAATTGTAATTTTTTGGACTGTTCTCTGCAGGCTTGATGGAGAGTTCACAAATGAATCCTACATGAGGTATCTTACAGAAGTACTCAGGAAAAACCAGGGATTGAGAGAGTTATTCTTGTCCCTCAAAAACCCAGATGACAAAGGAATAAAAGTCCTGTGTGAGGGCCTTAAACATCCAGAGTGTACAATAGAGAGGCTACAGTAAGTGATGTTTCTTCATTTCAGTTTGCCCGGCGTAACGATCATTTGATGGGTAATATTCGGGAAATATATCCTGGAAGAAAGAGTTCCATTGGAAATACATGATCAGATTTCATTCAGTTCCTATAAAATACCTACCAAGGTTGTTTTACAAGAAATAACTAATTTTTCAGATTGTTCTCTGCAGGCTGGGTGGTGAGATCGGAAATCAATCCTACATAAGGAATCTTGCAGAAGTATTCAGGAAAAACCACAGATTGAGACAGTTATATCTGAACCTTGATAACCCAGATGACAGAGGAATGGAAGTTCTGTGTAAGGGCCTCAAGCATCCAGAATGTTCAATAGACATGCTACTGTAAGTGATGCTTTTTCATTTCAGTTTGATTGGCATAATGGTTGTTGCACTGTTAATATTCAAGGAAATATATCCTGGGAGAGACAGTTCAGTTGGAAACACAATCAGTTTCCTATATTTTCTATAAAATGCCTTCCATGATTTGATTTTCAAAAAAATAGTAATGTTTCGGAGTGTTCTCTGCAGGCTTGCTGGAGAGATCGCAAATGAATCCTACATGAGGCATCTTACAGAAGTATTCAGGAAAAACCAGAGATTGAGACAATTATGCTTGTTCCTAAAGAACCCAGATGACAAAGCAATCAAAGTCCTGTGTGAGGGCCTCAAACATCCACAGTGTACAATAGAGGCACTTGTGTAAGTGATTCTTTTTCATTTTTGATTGAGCAGCATAACGGTCTTTTCATGGGTAATATTCTGGGTATACATTGTGGGAGAAACAGTTCAGTTGGAAACACTTTTCCTTTAGTTCCTATAAAATGGCTACCAAGGTTGTATTTCAAAAAATAAAAGCAATTTTAGGGACTGTCCTCTGCAGGCTTGGTGGAGAGAACACAAATGAATCCTACATGAGGCATCTTACAGAAGTATTCAAGGAAAATCAGCGATTGAGACAATTATGCTTGTCTCCAAAGAACCCAGATGACAGAGCAATGGAAGTCCTGTGTGAGGGCCTGAAACATCCAGAATGTACAATAGAGAGGCTACAGTAAGTGATCCTTTTTCATTTCAGTTTGAGTGGTGTAACCGTCCTTTCATGCGTAATATTCTGGAAATACATCGTACGAGAAACAGTTCATTTGGAAACACATAATCACATTTCCTTCAGTTTCTATAAAATGGCTACCAAGGTTATTTATCAAAGAAATAATTGGAAATTTTTGGACTATTCTCTGCAGGCTTGCTGGAGAGAATATAAATGAATCCTATATGAGGCATCTTACAGAAGTATTCAAGGAAAATCAGAGATTGAGACAATTATGCTTGTCCCTAAAGAACCCAGATGACAGAACAATGGAAGTTCTTTTTGAGGGCCTCAAACATCCACAATGTACAATAGAGAAGCTACAGTAAGTGATCCTTTTTAATTTCAGTTTGACTGGTGTAACCGTCCTTTCATGCGTAATATTCTGGAAATACATCGTAGAAGAAACAGTTCATTTGGAAACTCATAATCGCATTTCCTTCAGTTCCTATAAAATGGCTACCAAAGTTGTATTTCAAAAAATAATAGTAATTTTTTGGATTGTCCTCTTCAGGCTTGGTGGAGAGAACACAAATGAATCCTACATGAGGCATCTTACAGAAATATTCCGGAAAAACCAGAGATTGAGAGAGATATTCTTGTCCCTCAATAACGCAGATGACAGAGTAATCAAAATTTTGTGTGAGGGCCTCAAACATCCACAATGTGCAATAGAGAGGCTAGAGTAAGTGATTTTTTTAATTTCAATTTGACCCACGTAATGATCTTTTGATAGATTCTGTAAATCTATCCTGGGAGAAACTGTTCCATTGGAAATGCATAATTTCTTTTAGTTCCTATAAATTGCCTTCCATTCTTGTTTTACAAGGAATAATTGTAATCTTTTGGACTGTTCTCTGCAGGCTTGGTGGGGAGATTGCAAATAAATCCTACACGAGGCATCTTGCAGAGGTATTCAGGGAAAACCACAGATTGAGACGATTATGCCTGTCTCCAAAGAACCCAGATGACAGAGCAATGGAAGTCCTGTGTGAGGGCCTCAAACATCCAGAATGTACAATAGAGATGCTACAGTAAGTGATGCTTTTTCATTTTGGTTTGATCGGCATAACGGTCCTTTGACTATTAATATTTTGAAAATGTATCCAGGGAGTCACAGTTCAGTTGGAAACACATAAAGTTTTTCAGTTCTTATCAAATACCTTGTATGCTTTTTTTCAATAAATAATTGTAATTTTTTGGACTGTTCTCTGCAGGCTTGATGGAGAGTTCGCAAATGAATCCTACATGAGGTATCTTACAGAAGTACTCAGGAAAAACCAGGGATTGAGAGAGTTGTACTTGTCCCTCAAAAACCCAGATGACAAAGCAATGGAAGTCCTGTGTGAGGGTCTTAAACACCCAGAATGTACAATAGAGAGGCTACAGTAAGTGATGCTTTTTCATTTCAATTTGCCCGGCATAACGGTCCTTTGATGGGTAATATTCTGGAAATATATCCTGTTAGAAAGAGTTCCATTGGAAATACATGATCACATTTCATTCAGTTCCTATAAAATGTCTACTAAGGTTGCTTTACAAGAAATAGCTAATTTTTGAGACTATTCTCTGCAGGCTGGGTGGTGAGATCGGAAATCAATCCTACATGAGGAATCTTGCAGAAGTATTCAGGGAAAATCACAGATTGAGACAGTTATACTTGAACCTCAATAACCCAGATGACAGAGGAATGGAAGTTCTGTGTAAGGGCCTCAAGCATCCAGAATGTTCAATAAACATGCTACTGTAAGTGTCCTCCCAGCGTCCTCCTGTGTGGGGGGTGTAATGTGGGCGACAGGTTCCTGCGTGAGCCGGTTGGATTTTTCTGTCGTTAGCCGCTGAGCAGGTTTCTGTCGCATTGCTGGTTCTGGTCTGCTCTGCCGTTGGGGGTAGGGGATTGGACAGGTGGCCGCTCGATGCTTAGGTCTGGCCTCTCTTCCGTTACGCATATACATTCTAAGCATTTCCCCCCCCCTTTTGGGGTCATGGTTCACATCTTCCAATCAACTTGGAAGATGTGATTTACTTCCGGTTTCTTTTTCCCGGGCTATCCTTATTCTCCTCCCTTTTCCCTGTACAGTATTTGCAGCGTTGACAGCTTTTTTATTTCAGTTTGATTGGCATAATGGTCATTGCACTGTTAATATTCTGGAAATATATCCTTGGAGAGACAGTTCAGTTGGAAACACAATCAGTTTTCTATATTTTTTATAAAATGCCTTCCATGATTGATTTTCAAAAAATAATAGTAATGTTTCGAGTGTTCTCTGCAGGCTTGCTGGAGAGATTGCAAATGAATCCTACATGAGGCATCTTACAGAAGTATTCAGGAAAAACCAGAGATTGAGAGAATTATGCTTGTTCCTAAAGAACCCAGATGACAAAGCAATCGAAGTCCTGTGTGAGGGCCTCAAACATCCACAATGTACAATAGAGAGGCTAGAGTAAGCGATTCTTTTTCATTTTTGATTGATCAGCATAAAGGGCTTTTCATGGGTAATATTCCCGAAATACATTGTGGGCGAAACATTTCAGTTGGAAACACTTAATCACATTTCCTTCAGTTCCTATAAAATGGCTACCAAGGTTATTTATCAAGAAATAATTGGAACTTTTGGACTGTTCTCTGCAGGCTTGGAGGAGAGAACACAAATGAATCCTATATGAGGTATCTTACAGAAGTATTCAGATCAAACCAGAGATTGAGAGAATTATTCTTGTCCTTCAATAACACAGATGACAGAATAATCAAAATTCTGTGTGAGGGCCTCAAACATCCACAATGTACAATAGAGAGGCTAGAGTAAGTGATTCTTTTTCATTTCAATTTCACCCACGTAATGGTCCTTTGATGGGTAATATTCTGCAAATCTATCCTGGGAGAAACTATTTTGTTGGAAATGCATAATTTTAGTTCCTATAAATTGCCTTCCATTCTTATTTTAAAAGGAATAATTGTAATTTTTTGGACTGCTCTCTACAGTCTTGGTGGTGAGATCACAAATGAAAACTATACAAGGCATCTTGCAGAGGTATTCAGAGAAAACCAGAGATTGGGACAATTATCCTTGTGTCTAAAGAACCCAGATGACAGAGCAATGGAAGTCCTGTGTGAGGGCCTCAAACATCCAGAATGTACAATAGAGAGGCTACAGTAAGTGATGCTTTTTCATTTCAGTTTGATCGGCATAACGGTCCTTTGACTATTAATATTTTGAAAATGTATCCAGGGAGTCACAGTTCAGTTGGAAACACCTAATAACATTATTTTCAGTTCTTATCAAAACCTTGCATGCTTTTTTCAATAAATAATTGTAATTTTTTGGACTGTTCTCTGCAGGCTTGATGGAGAGTTCGCAAATGAATCCTACATGAGGTATCTTAGAGAAGTACTCAGGAAAAACCAGAGATTGAGAGAGTTATTCTTGTCCCTCAAAAACCCAGATGACAAAGCAATGGAAGTCCTGTGTGAAGGTCTTAAACATCCAGAATGTACAATAGATCGGCTACAGTAAGTGATGCTTTTTCATTTCAGTTTGATCGGCATAACAGTCCTTTATGGCTAATATTTGGGAAATATATCCTGGTAGAAAGAGTTCCATTGGAAATACATGATCACATTTCATTCAATTCCTATAAAATGCCTACCAATGTTGTTTTACAAGAAATAACTAATTTTTCGGACTGTTCTCTGCAGCCTGGGTGGTGAGATCGGAAATCAATCCTACATGAGGAATCTTGCAGAAGTATTCAGGGAAAACTACAGATTGAGACAGTTATACTTGAACCTCGATAACCCAGATTGCAGAGGAATGGAAGTTCTGTGTAAGGGCCTCAAGCATCCAGAATGTTCAATAGACATGCTACTGTAAGTGATGCTTTTTCATTTCAGTTTGATTGGCATAATGGTCGTTGCACTGTTAATAATCTGGAAACACATCCTGGACGAGACAGTTAAATTGGAAACCCATAATCATTTTCCTGTATTTTCTATAAAATGCCTTCCATGATTGATTTTCAAAAAATAATAGTAATGTTTCGGAGTGTTCTTTGCAGGCTTGCTGGAGAGATCGCAAATGAATCCTACATGAGGCATCTTACAGAAATATTCTGGAAAAACCAGAGATTGAGAAAATTATGCTTGTTCCTAAAGAATCCAGATGACAAAGCAATCAAAGTCCTGTGTGAGGGCCTCAAACATCCACAATGTACAATAGAGATACTAGTGTAAGTGATTCTTTTTAATTTCTGATTGGTCAGCGTAAAGGGCTTTTCATGGGTAATATTCTGTAAATACGTCGTGGGAGAAACATTTCAGTTGGAAACACTTAATCACATTTCCTTCAGTTCCTATAAAATGGCTACCAAGGTTATTTATCAAGAAATAATTGGAAATTTTCGGACTGTTCTCTGCAGGCTTGGAGGAGAAAACACAAATGAATCCTATATGAGGTATCTTACAGAAGTATTCAGGTCAAACCAGAGATTGAGAGAATTATGCTTGTCCCTCAATAACGCAGATGACAGAGTAATCAAAATTCTGTGTGAGGGCCTCAAACATCCACAATGTACAATAGAGCGGCTACAGTAAGTGATGATTTTTCATTTCTGTTTGTTCAGCATAATGGTGCTTTTACTATTAATATTCTGGAAATGAATCCTGGGAGTTACAGTTCAGTTGTTTTTGAAGACATCGGCTCAGGTCCCCAGCTGGGAGGAATGGGCACACCTCAAGAAATGAAAACGAAGACAGCAGCTCGAAAAAAATGGCTTTTAATTGCGACACAGCATGCGGTTCTTGGACAGTTGACAAAATGGTTGACTGAGTGGATGGATCATTACAGGTTTCTGATTGAGATGCTCCAGAGAGTTGTGCAACGTAGTGAGCCTTGTGTTCTTTTGCTATTCTAATGGTGGTGGGTAAATCCTATTATGTCCTAAAGGTCATGTCCTGTTCTTAGAATTTGGGGAGTGTATGTGGGGGGGGGGTGTAAATTCTTAATATCATCAACTTCAGCCTTCTGTGGCTAGAGGCGTTCTGTTCATGAATAGATTGGCCAAGTCTTCGTGAATGGATTAGAAATACTGCATTCCTTAAGGCCAGCCTCTTCAGCTTTCTTAGTTTGAAGCTGTTTTCCTATGGCAGATAGACTGGGCCTGCTTTCTGCCTTTGTTAAGATTTTTTTCTCCATTTCTCCTTTGGGGAAATATAATATTCTGCCTCTTTTTAACATCAAGAAGAAAGAATATTTTAATCTGGAGACCGGGCCTTCATAGAATTCTCCCTTTGTGCTATATAAGTATGGGTGGCACACTTTTACTGGCACAAGATTAAGAATTGATTTGATCAGGGAGACTTGATGGGTGCTTTTATTTCTCCAGGGTACGGGGAAGCAAGTTCTCAAATTTGTCCGAAATGGTATAGGGTTTCCTGCCTGAGCAGGGGTTTGGACTAGATGACCTTCAAGGTCCCTTCCAACTTTACTATTACTATTACTATTACTATTACTATTACTATTACTATTACTATTACTATTATTATTATTATTATTATTATTATTATTATTATTATTATTATTATTAAATTGTTAATGGCAATGGGAAGGCATTTATAGAGGCAGCAAAAAAGGATCCCTGCTGTGGTTCCCAAAAGAAGAGTTTTCAACTCATGAAGGTTTAGCAGCCAGGGCAAGAAGTTCTATTTAAGTAGAAAGGAAATTTATAGTATCCAATATTCTGTAACAATTCCGTTTTTGATGTCACTTTTTGTGAGCTTTCAGTCAGGCTTGAAACAAGCACATGCCCCAAAATTTTTCACAGCCATGATTTTGCCTTAGTAAATAATTACTGGCTGCCCATTTTAAAGGGTTGCTTCCTGAACCTACCTTAGCTCTTAGTTTAGTGCATCCAGGGTTCCCACCCAGAAGAGGCATTGTTGGTCTGACATAGGAATGGAGAACAGAGGATAAAAGATGGAGAGCTGGAGTGGGATGGGTAGCTTGCAGGCAGGCTTTTGAAAATACATTAATACTGCAGTGGTTCAAGAAACAGATAAACCAGTCACAACAAAATAGGGACACCACAGATGAGGAAAAGGAGAAGCTGGATTGTGGTGTTGAAAGAAAAATCTTCAGGGTCCAGTTCAAGCCAGGAATAAAGAAAATGAAGAGTGCTTAGGAAAGAAGGTTCTTGTTTATTTAGTTGCCAGAAACTTCAGTTATACAGCATGCTTCTGACGTAGCAGACAAAATGGAGCTGGGAGTGGGTGGGTTTTTATACCTTTTTGGGGTTTTGTGTTTGGAGTTGTTCCTGTTTAAGGTTGTTCCTGTTCCTGTGTCATGTACTTTGACCTGAGTTTTTGGTATTCTAATGGTGGTGGGTTAATCCAATTATGTCATAAAGATCATGTTCTGTCCTTGGGAGTCTTTGTTTTTCTAATCCCATCAGCTCAAATCTTCTCTGGTTGTGGCTGAAGGCATTTTGCTTATGAATAGGTAGCCCAGTCTTTCTGAATAGTATTATCTAATCAGCATTTCTACAGAGCTGGCCTGCTCAGTTTCTGTAGGAAAGGGAGAAGTTTCTGCCTTTTAAGATTTTCTCCCATTATTCCTTTGGGAAAATACAATATTCTGTCTTTTTTAATACCCCCCAAAATATTTCCTTCTCTGGGGGGGGGGTGATGACTTTCTACACTGGTAATAAGACAAAAGATATCTGGTGATGAAAGAGAACAAGACAAGACGATAGGTCTCATTGAACAAATGCAACATAACTATTGTAAAGCACATATTAAAGAGGACTTGAAAATGCTGGACAGCTTGAGAATACTGAAAGTTCAAAATAATTTTATAAGCCTAATATTTTAATATGTAAAAATTGCCAGGGTCATGAGAACCTACCTTTAATATTTGTTTTGAAACTTTTAAACATCCTGATAGCATTTGGCCCAGCATTATCAATACACAATTTAGATGAAAACACCACATTATTTTAGAGATTGAAAAATGCTTATATGTTCCAGGATTAGTTCCATAGTAATTTTACTGACTACTTGTCAACGCTGCTAACATCAGATGTTCTTGCTTTGACAACAGATGGAAATGCAGCCATTTTTTTCTGTTGCTTCTAGAGCTAGTTGATGCTGGGAGGGGGAATGTGGATGAGAGTCCAGCTAGTCATAACAATAATAACTCAGCCGTGGGAATCCAAGGTCATTGGGCCCACAGTTGATAGAGTTTTGGTGGGCTGGAGAGCTGGGGAGAAAGCCCGCGCTTCAAGCTAATTGGGGAATGTGATTTATTACTTTTTATTGGAGGAGGGAATTGTGCTTTGATACTTTGTATCCAGGGGAGGGGAATTTAGTTTTTGGTTTCGACTATGTAGTGCCGATACTTTGTTTCTCGAATAAAGATTCTTTAAGGTAAACAATGCCTCGAAGTTCTTTTGAAGAGTTTCATCTGTTGGAACCATGACATTAAACCAAAACTCCAATCTTTACCTAACGATCTTGGGGTCCTAAGCCCCAGTCGCTGTCCCTAGAATTGAGGAATAGACAGACAAAGATTCGGGGAAGATCTCAACATGAAGAAGGAAGGAAACCTGCACCCCGGCAGTGGCTGCTATCTCAGAGGAGGGAGCGCAGGTCAGTGCACCAGTGGAGAAGGAACATTTTCAGTCTCTCAGATGGGGGCAAGACCCAAGCCACAAGGACAGCCAATTTGGTCGTCAGGATGGACCTTACCCAGTGGAGACTCTAGACACCTCGAGTCGGCCTTGCCACAATCAAGTGCTTCGAAGGCAGACGTGATTGAGCTGCAAGGAGGGGCTTCCCGCAAGTCACGTTCCTCAGACCAGTGGAGAACCACGAAATTGACTATCGCCAAGGACTCGGGTGAGTGGAAGTACCTGTCTGCAGTCTGTAGTCAACCAGTGGAGAAGTTGGTGGAAAGATTTGAGGAGCTAGAGATGAAAAGTGGAGACAATCCTCCCGTTCTCCATACGCGAGTGATCATGATGATTGGCGAGGCAGCCACCAACTCATGCCAAGGGGAAGTCCCAGCCCTACCTGCGCAGGTCAAGCAGCTTCCCTGTCCTCGAAGCCACCTACCATGATCTCCAGCCCCGCGGGGAGAGACAGCTCCAGTCGCCCCTCCAAAAGCCCAGATCGCTGCCGGCGAGATCAGAGCCCGAGTTGTCATCGGGAGAACCGAAGCCTGGATCGACATGCTTACCAACCACCCAGCCCGGGGGATGTCGCAGCCCCCACAGATGGGAGACCAGCAATTGCTGGCGGTGCACCAACTAAACTGGGGGTGGCCACAGCCCCCGAATGTGCAGCAGCAGATGGAGACCTTGCAGCAACCGGGGATGATGCTGCCGCCAGGGGGTCAGCAACAGTGGGTTGGCTGGATGTGACTGGCAAGAGACGGTCCCTCAGATAACCTGATCCCAAGTCATGAAGGGCTTTTAAGGTGACAAACAGCACCTTCAATTTCACCCAGAAGCAAACTGGCAACCAATCCAACTCCTACAGGAGAGGTGACCTATGTGCACACTGAGGTCTGCACAAAACCATGTGGGCTATTGCATTTTGAACCAACCGGAGCTTCCAGAGGCTTTTCAAGGGCAGCTCCATGTATAGCATATTGCAATAGTCAAGACGGGAGGTGATAGGCCATGAGTGACCATGAGTAGGGATTGTTGGCACCCTTTTCTTATTGGCCACGGGGCTTGAGTCTTCTTGGACTCCCAACTCCTGCTCAAGGAACAGGTGGCAATCATGGCTAGGAGGGCTTTTGCTCAACTTCAGGTTGTATACTAGTTACCCTTAAAGAGTGTCCAGAAGCGGCAATTAGTCCAGAATGCAGCAGCATGAGCAGTTTTGGGAGTTCCTAGTGTGATGCATGTAACACCTCTACCATACAAGTTAGCGTGGGACCAGGATATCCAAGGAATCATCTCATCACAAATAAATGGATCCTTCTCACCTTATCAAATAAGAAAGGCATGTTGCGTATGTCAAGAAATTTCAACTGGCGGAATCTCCTCAGTTGCTGTCCCATCCTCTGGAACATCTTACCTCCAGAATTGAGGCAAGCCCTCATTCTTGTTAAGACCTGGCTTTGCCAACTAGCATGGAGGTATAAGAGTATGATGCAGCCATGGGGATGGCCGGTGACTTGAGGACACTGCTGCTGCTTTGTTAATCTTTTTAATCTTTTGAATTTTTAACTTTGATTTTTTATTTTTACTTGTAAGTTTTAACAAATTCTTACATCTGATTTTAATCAATGCTTTTATTGATGCATTTATATGGCTTTATTATGATGTTATAAACTGTCCAGAGTCACTTAGGGGAGATGGCTGGTGTAGAAATTGAATGAATGAATAAATAAATAAAGCCAATCTTCAATAAAATGTTTTCTTCTTTAATTTTAAAACCAAAACAATACCAATTCGCCCGTGGTCATTCTGTTTCTCTGTCTAAAAAAGGAAATATCTTTGAAAGAATGATTCAGTGGGTCATGAGTTGTCCAGGGTGATCCTAATTATTTTGACTATTTCCTGGAGGCTTTGTGGAGAGTCCTTTAAGGGATCCCACTGGAAGATTCCTGCTGAAGTTCTCAGGAAGAACTAGACAGTGAGACTGCTAGTTTTGTATCTCCATGTCACAAGAAAAAGGCATAGAAACACTGAGTGAGGGCCTTAGACATCTGGAATGTAGAATAGAGAGGTAGAAGCAAATAGTGTTTTCTTCTCCATCTGATGTACATAAACATCTCTTGATTATTTATCTTCTTGAAATGTATCCAGGGAGAGGAAGTTAAAAAAAATCAATATTTTAAACCACTTGGGTAGAAAAAAGTCCTCATGGGCTTTATTGCTGCTCTGATCTTTCGTAAAAGATTTAGTCTCATTTTCTAAAACTGGTGGCCAATGAGTTATACCTTCTGAATATTATTTATATTTATATTAAATAACTATTTCATGACATGTTCTGAGAAACTGAACAAGTGATAATAATTTTCCCAATCCTCACCTGAGATTGGTAAATGAAACACAAATTTCTGTTGTTTCAGGATTCCAGCCAGAGAGTGCCAAAACATAGCCACATTTGGTCAATTTTTGATCATATTGAAGTAGCATACTTTTTTTTTTAATGTAACGAGTTTCTAATATTTTCTTTTAAGAGTTAGCAACTTATCTTCCTTAGCTAAAGAACAATGCATCTGAGGTAATGTTACAGCTATCTTCAATTTTCTTTTTGTCAGGTAACATTCATTATCAAACCAAGAAAATTGATCTGCAGGGGAAATTTTGGAATAGAGTTTAATTATTATGTATTTCTGCAACATAAAAGACAAATTTGTAAATGCAATGAAGACTCACCCCAATCAACTGTGTGTCATGCAACCATAACATAGCATTCACTCATTTGAGGCTGTTCAGTATTGCTTCGCTATCAACTCTAGACCATATTATTCTGAATCACTTCCCAATTAGTCATAACTTGTCTATGAGCTGTATTATATAATCCTAAATATGAATGGTCAAATATTTTCACACCTGCTAGCTAATGATCACTTTCTCCCCTCAGACAGAAATCAGCTTTACTTTTCAATACACGGATGAGATGTAGCACACTGCTTCAGTGGCATAACTGAAAGGTATACATGCCCAGCTTCAAAATTTGGACATTCCATTTAAAAATCAGTGATATCAGACCAAGAGTGTTACTTTTGGGCATGACTTGAATACCAGTGTGATGATTATCAAACGATTCATCTGGGAGTCCACCACACTGGGCAAAAACATGAACACAGAAGCTTAACTTGACATTAAAATAATTGGATCAAATAATTATATCTTGGATAATTATTTATTTAATAGAGTAACAGTATATGGTCATCCATCTCATTTACTATGACTTCGGGCAATTGGCAATTAGAATAAAATAAAAACAGAACTAAAATTATAGACATAAATAACAAAATAGCAGCCGAGAACCCTCACAGCCTCCTGCAGTCTATATAACCATAAGAAAGGATCATTCATGCTATTAGAACCCCAGAACTCACCAGCAGAGTTGGGGCAAGCCTGATCTTAGGGTGATGATGTTCCAGAGGAAAGTGTCACAAGACTTAGAACTGTTTTTTTATTTTTACTATAGACGATTTTAATTTAAATCAAATTAAGTTTAATATTTTGCACCTGGTCTTTTGAACTATAGTTTTCTTGTTAATGTTAATTTACTTACTCAGCCCATGTAATTTTTTATCTGCTTGTTTAACAGAAACTTGTTAGGAACTTTTTTCTTTTTGTTATTGAGAAAGTAGCACTGAGATCTTCAAAACTTAGTTGTAAGTAGAAATAAAAGCCCTAATACTTAAATTACCGTGATAATAATTAAAAACTTCAGATCATTGGCAAAATTGTCACATTTATAGCATCTTTTCTGTCCTTGAATCCTTCTGGCCTATTACTCAGGCATTTTCTGAACATTGGACTTGTACTCTTTTGTAATGACAGCAAATCTATATCCCAAATAATCCAAATGACAAATCAGTGGGGCAAATATTGGAGTAGAAGGGAGTTTATTGATGCATGTTCAAAAGCAGAATAATAAATGCTCACAGACATAATGGAAGAGTTGCAAGGAGCATATGAGGTGTTTCTTTTCACTGCACTTTGGGTCACTTTGCAGAACCTATGACCTTTTATTTGGGACAAAAGGAGGCAACCAGGCAATCTCAAGAGGCCAGTAGGACCTAGGAAGCAGCTTCACCAAGTTCACTTGTGTGATATAGCAGATTATCCCTATGACAAGGCTTCAGGAGTGGAAGAAAAATATTACTTTGAAATTATAATACCAAAAGATGAATGTAGGCTTGTCTGTGCAGTGGACTGGGGGTTAAGCATGTCATGAAAATATGCCCTTTAGAAATGGTTAAGAGTCATTTTGGGGCCATGTGAAGAGGAATCCAAAGTGTCAAACATGTTGACTTTTGGGGCATCCACAGTAAGCTGAGATTTTATCAAAATGTTGAAATGTGTTTCATGCCTCTTACTTACTTGCAGGTGACATTATGATGCATATTTTGTCATTTGCTTCCTTCACCACCATCTCTCTCCCTCCAATACCCATGTTGTCTTCTACTGTATTTTAATATGATTAGTATAAAATTTACTTGCTCTTTCATCTATAATCCGGTTTCATGGGTGTTCTTCCCTTAAGAGGCTCTGAGGAGGCCTTTCCCAAAGTGTAGGAAGGGTCCTAATCCAGATCTATTCTGGAAAAGGATGCCTCAACTTCTCTTGCAGGGCATTCCTTAGCCCCAGGGGAGTATTTCCTCCTGAGCGAACTGGCAGAGTCCCTTACTAACTTTTTACAAGAAGTAGCTATTCAAACAGGCTGTAATTTCCAGCCTCCCAGACAAACTCTGCCTACTACATGGCAACCCACTGCATGTTCTTAATCAACCCTTTAGGATCTACCCATTGGGATCTACAGGCTTTAAATGGAAAGGAGGAAAACAAGTTAGGCCCTGAAACTAGTATTTTGACTATTGTGACAAGGATACCTTTTTCATACTTATTGTGTATTGTATTTTAAAATTATCTAAATAAATAAGAGGTGAGAAGTTCTTAGAAATGGTGCCTAAGATTAGTTTTATTTGTGAAACAGTGTAGCTATTTAAGCTTTTGGGGATGTGATATCTATTATCTCTGATGCAATCTTTCTCTATGCAAATAAGTCTTAAGTAACAGACCAAAACAATCTTTAAATCTGTGTTAATTCTTGATTTTTCCCATTGGATATTCATTTGAAATAATATGATTTTGATAGTTCTCTATCCCCTGATTGCTTTGTATGTGATTAATATTAAAAAGCCATTATTATATTTTTAAATTTCTTTTTCTAGAAGAATAAAATTAACTTAGTGTATACTAATTGAGGAGGGGAAGAGGGGATGGTTTGTGGGAGGAGCAGCATGTGTGCATGCATGCATGTGTGCTCACTGCTCATGCAAGTGGGACTGCGAGCACCCACCACTTGCACGAATAGGCTATGTGTGCACGTGCATGTGCGTGCTGCACTAGCCCCACTTGCACGGCCCAGTTGTGAATAGGCCACAGCCTAATAATTGGCTGCAGCCAGTGATGGGATTCAAATATCTGAACAACCAGTTCTCTGTGTGGATGCCGCTTCTGGAAGTCCATTCTGGGCCTGGGCCTCCGAGCCCCAGAACAGACTTCTGGAACTGGTGTCTATGCACTTGCAGTGGGCCGTTCTGGGCCTGGGAGGCCTCCCCGGCTCAGAACGAACTTCTGGAAGTGGTGTCCACGCACTTCCGTTGGGTCATTCTGGGCCTGGGAGGCCTCCCCGGCTCAGAAGGGACTTCCGGAAGTGGAATCCACGCACTTCCACTGGACTATTCTGGGCTTGGGAGGCCTCCCCGGCTCAGAACGGACTTCCAGAAGTGGCGTTCACACACTTTTGGAGGTCTGTTCTGGGCCTTGTGAAAAAGGGCTAGGGAATCAGCCGGTTCGCCGAAGTCAACAAAAAATTAGCTACTGGTTCTACCGAACTGGTGCGAACCAGCTGAATCCCACCACTGGCTGTGGCCCACAAGTTGGGGACCCGTGCATCAAGGTATTCAAGGGAGGAATGGATTTCTTTCTCAAGTCACATGGTCTTATCCTATAGGATCAAGAGGTGGCACTATAGAATTAGTTTCATTTTGTCAGATTCTTACACAAGCTAGTATGTATTGCTAGAAGACTTCAGATAAATAATAACCAAAGAATAAATCCAGAATGTAAAAATCAATTGAGAAGACATTTGAAATTAAACAACTTACAGCACTATAAAGTATATTTCTCTTAAAAGAATATTAGAATTCCTTAAATCAACTATTCCTTGAAGTCTTCCGGGTAAACATTTGAACTCAAAATTAGCTTTTAGATAAATCCACCAATGGCTATCCCACCCAGTGCAGCCTTTGCAATTATTAGCCCCCAATGAAATCGTGAAGAGAGCTCTTGGCTACTAAGTGGGCAGGGAGAATTGGGCTAGATAAGTTAAATAGGGGGAGGGGCATTGCTCAGATTCTAAAATGAAATATGAGAAAGCTGTTTACCTAATCCTTGGGAGAGAAGAAAACATGAAGATCAGTTTGAGAAATACTGGCACATCAAAGATTTAAAAAATAACTTTCCCCCAGTTAAACTGTAGTCATAGCAAATCTTACCAAAGAGGCTGGAAAACAAACTTTCTCTAATCAGACAAAACAACCTGGAATGAGTGAAAACAAATTACCCCTGAAATTATCTAGGATGAATCAGATTATATTTGGAGGTCTAGGTCGGCCCTCAGAGATTATTAGGCAGGTCTCAGCACAGCCCTGATTGGGACATTATTAGGGACTTTTGTTCAGAGATTAACATACATTTTTTTCATTATAGGTTGAATGGACAAACATGGAAATGGAAAATAAAATGAAATGGACCACATAGCTGTGTGAAGAGAGTGGCAAGCTTTGAATCCTTGCAAAGCAGGAAGTGGCGCTAACCTGACTACTTTTAGAATTTCTGAAGCCCGAATCTGGCTGTTCCCAAGAGAATGTAGACCGTCCAGTGAAATTTTCTGATCAGCTCATGGAGTCGCTCTGGTTCCTTGCACCTGCCAATGGCTGTGCCTCTACTATAGATGCTGTCCTTGTTTGATTGACCTACTGTATGTTTACTTCCATTCAGAATATGGCGAAGAAGAGTTGGAACTTAATATATTTCAAGTGAACGTGTGAAGAACTTTCTTTCAGGCACTGTACAGGTAGTCCTCGACTTACAACCATTCATTTAGTGACCATTTGAAGTTATAACGGCATTGAAAAAAAGTGACTAATGACCACACACTTACAACTGTTGGGGCATCCCCATGAACACAGGATCAAAATTTGAATGCTTGGCAATTGGTATGTATTTATGAGTTTGCACTGTCCCAGGGTCATGCGATCACCAATAAAAGAAAATATTTCTAGCTCAGGGTTGATATGAGAGTCCTGGGTGTTCTCTGAACTTGCTTGTTTTCTTGCAGACATTTCATTACCCAAACTAGGTAACATCATCAGTGCTAGTGTGATCCTCTTTTGCAACCTTCTGACAAGTTTATGGAAATGTGAACAATAAATCATAACAATATTTTCTACTAAGCTCCTTTGAACAGGGGGATGATAACATTCCTTGATTATCTGCCATAAAGTTCATATCAACTCTTAGCAACCACACAGATAAAAACTATTGGGTTGAATGGGCTGAACCATTCAGATTACATGGGGGGAGATTAATCTAGGCGAGCAGAGTTTTCAGTTTGAAAGTAATTATCTCTTGATGGTTTCTCTTTTGTAAACATAACCAGGGAGAGGCCATACTGTTATCGACAAATAATAATATTCATTTCAGGTTCTTCAAGATCTCTGTTCATAGTTGATTTTTAATATCTGTTTGTAATGTTTCTGACTAGTCTGTAGGATTCAAGGAGGGTTCTTGAAAAACTCCTTTGGGAGAGACATTGCAGGAGTTTTGGGGACAAACCAGACCCTGCATAAAGTATATTTCCATGGTGACTGCATTAGTGCCAAGAAGAAGAAGCTGCTATGTGAAGACCTAAAATACTCAGGGATAAGTTAAAGAAGCTACGGCAAAACATCAGTTTCTTCTTTTCTGTCTGATCTGTATATTGCTCATCTGATTTCTTAGGTTTTGTTGATTATAGAGGCATTTTAATTTAAATCAAATGAAATAAAATATTTCGCTTCTGGTATTTTCAACTTATATTTTCCTTGTTAATGAGAATTTATTCACTCATTCCATGTAAGCTTTGGATCTGAACAGACTTGAACACTGGGCACTATCTAACAAAATGAAATTCAATGGTGAAAAAAGCAAGGTTCTACATTTAGGCAAGAAAAACCAATTGCACAAGTACAGCATAGGTGGCACCTTGCTCAATAGTAGTAACTGTGAGAGGGACCTCGGAGTCCTAGTGGACAATCACCTAAATATGAGCCAGTAGTGTGCTGCAGCTGCNGAGAAACTTCCTGACAGTGAGAACAATTAACCAGTGGAACAACCTGCCTCCAGAAGCGGTGAATGCTCCAACACTGGAAGTTTTTAAGAAGAGACTGGACAGCCATTTGTCCAAAATGGTATAGGGTTTCCTGCCTGAGCAGGGGGTTGGACTAGATGACCTTCAAGGTCCCTTCCAACTTTACTATTATTATTATTATCTGTTATTAACTTTTTTCTTGTTTTTCTTGAGAAAGAGGCATTGAGATATTCAAACCTTTCTTAGAAGTCGAAATCTAAGACATAATAATTCAACTGCTGGGACGATTAAAACCTTCAGATTCAGCTGATTACAGCAAAAAGAAGGTAGCCCAGGGGAGCCACAATATCATAAATTTTCTCCCCTGTCTCCACTTCCAACTGTCCCTTTCTGATCTTCTGCTTTTCCAACTCTCCACTTCTCTCCTCCTCTGTTTCTCCACCAATTCTCCACCCCATCTCCATGCCCATCTTCCTCTTGCCTTCTTGTGACATACTGCTCCACTTCCACAGGCCAATCTCAACATCCCAAAAAACCTTCCAAAAAAACCTCCTCTGCAAAACTATTTTGGAGCTCCATCAAGCCTTTCAACGTGCATCCACCTTCGATTGCTAAGCTATCAGTTCAAATAAATTCTACTTCTGCTTCAAAGGTTCTCCTGTGTCTTTATCAAATATCACAGTTAATATCTTCAATGCTTGGCATGTTCTGTTCATCTTCCTGTCTGAACAGCCCTGGATGTGGAATTCTAGTCTTCGAATAGCCAGACTTTGCTTCAGGCCCTTACAAACCCCAAATGCTGAGCAGATTGAGGAAACCCGGAAGAGGTTTTAATTGAGCCAAGACAAAGTGAAAATCTCTCATTCATCTTGTCTGAAATTAAAACCCTTGATGAAACTTAGTCTGATCCAGAGCTTTACGTGAAAAAATGTGTGCTGAATCAAACCTTTATTACAATCAGAGACCAGAATTAAAAATTTTAAAAATTAAAATAAAACAGAAGAAGGCATGATAGTATATTATAGTTAATGGTGAGATAACTGATGAGAGGCCAAAGTCTGCCTCTCACCAGGAATAATATATAAAAAAAAAGAATTCCCCTCCTAAATGGGTAGTTTATAAAGAGATAGGAAATCTTCCCAAGGACAATGGAAATCAAGTTTTTTGAATTAGATAAAATGTAGAAAGAATGAAGCCAAATAAAACCTGGAATTATCTGAGATAGATTAGATTATATTTGGAGGTCTGGGTCAGAGATGGTCAGGTGGGTCCCTGCACAGCCCTGACAGACATTACTGGGGACTATTTTTTGGTGGGAGATTAAAATAAATTTCACAGTGAGGTTTCTTCAATATTTACAGCAGGGGTTTAGGATATTGGAAGATTAGATATTGTTGGCAAAGCTTCCAAAGAAAATCTTAAAGGAAAATTTTATTATTAAGAAGCAAACGAAGATATATTTTGATGATGATGATGATGATGATGATGATGATGATGATGATGTTGTTGGAAGAGACCCTTGGAGGTCATCGAGTCCAACCCCCTGCTCAGGCAAGAAACCCTACACCATTTCGGACAAATGGCTGTCCAGTCTCTTCTTAAAAACTTCCAGTATTGGAGCATTCACCGCTTCTGGAGGCAGGTTGTTCCACTGGTTAATTGTTCTGTCAGGAAGTTTCTCCTTAGTTCTAGGTTGCTTCTCTCCTTGATTAGATATTTGATCCCAGATGGATCATATCATGATTAGGGTGATTAGTGGCATGTACAGTATGTTGTAGATTATCTATGAATTAAATACAATAATAGATTATTAACAGACATCTTTGAAGTTTAACTTTGTTGCTGATTTACCTTATTTTTACATATATAGTAGATAGATGACAGGCTAAATAGCTCAAGTAAAACTGTACTTGGTGATTTCTGAGCCTGGTTGTTGTCTTGCAAATGTTTCAGCTTCTAGCACTGAAGATGTTACCTAGCTGAGTAATGAAATGTCTGCAAGACAACAATCAAGTTAAAAGAGAACCAAGGATTCCAGTATTCTCTTTTCTCTATATTGCCATAGAGGCATTTAATACTTATCAGAAATTATTGGAATTTGCAAAATGAGGAATTACAAATCTTATATACTCTTAAATATATATAATTCTGCCCAATTCTTTGACACTATTACTGTCTAATTGTCATATATATGTCATAATGTAGAATTCTGATCAATAGAGGAACAAGTTTTGTTTTAAAAGAATATAGAAAGAAAAGTATGATCCAGCTTTTGAAAGTGTTGTATCTGTTGTGCCTGAGTAACAATCTCTCTCAGTCTCAGTCTCTCTCTCTCTCTCTCTCTCTCTCTCTCTTTGCATGCTCACCCATCCAGCAGGATTCATATGAATTATATTCTTGCTTTTGTGGTGTCCTGCAACATTATTTTATTTCAATTTCATTATTTTATTCTCAGGATTTCTGAGATACCAGTTCAAAGCTGATGGCAACATAAAGAGTCTGACAAGAACGAAACATTTAGGACATTTATGCCATGGTTACTGATAGGAGATTTTAAAACAGAAAGCCAAATGAGCAAAGGATCAAAGAAACTAGTGAAATTTAGGGAGTAAGAATTCAGTGTTTGTAGGTTGTCAGGAGTCTGTGGAAATTCAAAATGTAAATTATCTCAGGGGCCATTCTTTTTCTATTTGATGGAGGTTTATAAAATAAAAGGGATAAAAGCAAACTGAACTTTCAAGGAGAGTGGACATTCTGATTCTTCAGACAAGACAGAAATCCTTTGAGATTCTTTTTTTTAAATAGTCAGGAGCACCAAACCAATTTGAATATTTTCAAATAAGCTGCATAGTTCTAGAGTAATTACAAAACCAAGGCAAACTCTTAGAGACTTGACTGAATTTGGAAACTTTATAACACAAGTTGCGGGGTGGTAAAATACAATTTAAAAGCTGAAAAAATTACATATTTTATGATTAAACTGATGCAGAATTTGAACAGAATAATTGATATGCAACAATGGGAATTTCAATGGGAAAATATAAAATTTACATAGAACATTATATTTGAAGAAAACTGGTATATTTTATTGATAATGTATTACTCTGGTTCAAAATTATTAAAATTGCTGGAAATGTCATGCTCAGATTTGATTTTTTTTCAAATATGGTTGTGATATTATGAAGCCAGGAATTCTGGAGAATTGAAACAAATTCTACAGCTGGAACTTTCTCTTCAGCCAGACACTTTTTTAAAAAATTAAATATTATTAAACTTTCTATACTACATACTGAACTGGCCCTGCATATGGTTATAGCTGCAAAGCTCTAAAGAGCATATTGAAAAGCACAAGCAGCTCTTGCAAGTAGTTCTCGCTTAACGTACATTCAAAGATTGTTCAGAGTTACATTATCTGTGAATGAGGAGTAATTACAATGCAGAATAAGATCAGTGAATGCAACATCTTGAGTATTTTAGTGTTTATATTTTTATTTGGCATTTACTTATATTAAGGAATCGTTAATGCATAGCGGTGATCTGACTTCCATTGCTAACACTGCAAAGTATATAGCTATATATATGAAAAAAACCTCAATGTTCAATGCATTTATTATTGACACAATAGCTGGCATCCAGGGAGCTTCCTCCTGCTTCATTCTGCCTGCTTGTCCCAGGATCAAATAGGAGGACAAATTTTAAGTGCTGGCAGCAATGAGCTGTGGACAAC